AGACTTTCAGATTATGAAAAATATGTTTAATTCAATGGCATTGTGCAAACTCAAATTCTACAGCATTTTGTGACACAAATCCAATTTATTGCTTTTGCTAACCAGCTCATGGCAGGTATTAAGTATTCTCAAAATAATTAATTTGTTAAAATGATTTCGTATTCTCATAATGAATTCCTAAAAATAAAAAAAAATCGTATTTTTATTTTAACACTATGCTATCGAACGAGGTGCTGTAGAATATATTCTAAAAATAGATGCTGTCCAAACTTGAATTTAAAATACTGTTACAGCATAGAAGTAAAAGTAAAATGGGAAAAGAATGATCCACTGAATGTCGTACATACTGAAGTGCCATTGATTAAAAATTCTACTATACACTTGCTGACTATTAATCTATTTATAATAACGTGAAGTATTACGATGAGGTTGGAATAAATAAATTGGCATAAAAGTTGATTTATCAGCTCACAGGATCAAAAAAATTGATGGAGTTTACTCTGAACAAACAAATCATGAAATTGGAATTAACTCTGTCATTCAGTGTCGCAGAGATTACTGCTACTGTAAGTAATAAGTAAATAAAAGTGTTGCGCAACGACGTTTCAAATACGTTCGTCATATAACTAATGTTTATATACGCTCGTTACACAACGACGTTTTGTAAGAAGTTATAAAAATGTTTATTAATAGTTCATTAAATTATTTTTTTATAAAAAATTATTTATTAACAAGGAATCAGAAAATTGGGTTGATAGTAGTTTTTTTTTCTGTCGGTCCTATTGGATAATTACGAGAAAAGAAGGTTTCCATCGGGTGATGCCGGATAAAATGACAGAAAAATTAACAGCAAAATCGAATAATTGGCACAATTGGGATGTGAAAAAAAGTATTGTAAAAAATGGGTCGGTCGGGTAATGTAAAATGAAAATCAACTTTACGTGGCCTAATTATGCTTTCACAAGAAATAATATGCAGTTGCTGCACAATAGCTTGATTTCTGTATAATACATAACAATAATAATAGATGATTTCACAATTATCCGCCGGTGTTGCAAGCATTACTTCGTAACCTACTAAAGCCATTAAATTTGTCAAGAAATATTAGTATACCGAAAGGAGTAAGGGTTGCATTAAACATATGGGGTCTTTGCCTTGAAAATCACCTTCCGACATTTCCGATCGGGTTAATTCGGACAAAAATAAACCCGAGTACCGGTTCATGTTCATATGTTAATCATATTTTAACTTTATTGATTCAATAGTTTATTGAATAACTAATGAATCAATAAAAGCAAAAGGTGATTAACATATGAACATGAACCGGTACTCGGGTTTATTTTGTCCGAATTAACCCGTTCGGAAATGTCGGAAGGTGATTTTCAAGGTAAAGACCCCTATAGCATATTCATAGAAGTCCGGAACTTTGGATTTTGGGATCTCTTTATCTCCCAATGCTCAACACTTTGATAAAATATTACTAACATCATTCTTCATACTACGTTCCAAGAATTTAGTTAAAATAGAAGGAATCTATAACTTTTTTATTAGAGTATTTATTATCACTTATATAAATAACATTTATAATGTTATATGAATACACTAAAGCTAGATTGGTAAATACAGTAATATGTCAATTTCTTATATATTCTAATGTTTTTAGACCTTCAAGCTAAAAATTCAGTAAATATCAATACTGGTCGTTGTACACAAGCTTTTCTATTCAAATGAGTTTTCCGAAATTTTAGATCAATATTTATCAAAAATGTAAATTTATATACATTTCTTTTTAGGTTTCAATTTTTTGAATTATCTGACCACAAGCTTTTATTGTTGTATTTGATGTAATTTTAAATTTAATGCCGAACGTAAAAGGTATATAGTGGGGTTCTCTACTTCACCTCCAAAGAATGGAATAGCACATTCTCTAGTTGGGCATTCAATTTTTGCACAAATGGGAATAGAACCACCTCCACTAGACATTTTATCAATTGACATTTCAAAAGCGAAACTATCATCTTTAGTAATGTCAACATTTGTAGCCACATTCCCATTAATCAATATATCCGCACCAATGAAGAAAGATTCAGGAGGAACGGTTAAATTTAGTGTTGCAAAAGGTGGTTCGAATGAACATGGAAAAACTTGATATTCTCTTTTGTTCAATTGATATGGAATAGCATTGATTATAGAAAGTGTAGCAAAGAAAATGAATAACAAGATAGGATATCGGATCATGATTATAATTCTTTATAAATTATCAAAAAAAATTTTTGTTATAAAGAAATTTTAAGTGTAATTTTAGTTTTGTTTTATTTGCTTTTGGTAAAATTAAAAAATTAATTCATTGGCTTTTATAAAAAATCACTTATTTTTTCATATATTTGTTATTGAATTTGTTATTGTTTTTTTTTAGTTTAGATTTTCGTTAAAATTTTTTTAAACTATAAACATTAGTTATCATTAATTAATCAGTAATATCTCCGTCGATAGTAACCATTTTCGTAGTTTTCAAAAAACGTGAATTCTGGTTAGAGTGGTATGGTGATCTGTAAACGGCTATAAAATAAATTTTACCTCAAAGCATTTTATTAAATTACTGTATTCTATCGTAAATAAGCACCATTTTTGCTTTTTTGAATATTAAATTAGTAATAAGATTTTTAGCAAAGGTATTTCGTTAATCTGACATTTAAAAAAATGAGGAGAGGATGAAGCTTATTTACATTAGAATACGAGATTGATTGCCTCGTCAACGAAGTGACGGAGCCAACATTATTGCGAGATCAGTGAATCTGGTCATATAAGCATGAGACACGTGTTATATAGTTATTAAATACTCTACTTTATAGATTAATTTTATATATTTGTTATTTTTAATAATCAAGAACAATTGATATACGATGTAATTCAGTTACTGCATAACAAATGTCGCAAGAATTTGTGTATTGTGCTATGAAAAAAAATGTGTCGTGTGTGAATGACTAAAATTGTTGTAATTAAAGGATTTATAAGCATTGAATTTGAATTAGGAAAGCCTCTATCTTTCGGTTTCGTTATTGCCCGCCTTGCATTATTAGGCTGCCCATCCCTCCCTCCCAAATATAACAGATTGAACTAACACTTGAAAAATGTAGTTGAAAAGCCAAGAGCGTCATGTATGAGGAATGAAATATGGGTAGTTTAAAGAATCGTGAACCCATTTACAAAACATTTTATATAATCACATTAATAACATTTGTTTAACGTTGTATCATGGTATTTTAGGTAGCGTTCCCACAAAAAATTGTTCATCCCCAGTAATTTTGACCAATCAAAATTTAAGATCAGGTGTCAAAACAAACTTGTTTTGTTTTCTAAGTAAAAAAAGTTACGCGTAAAATGAAAACCAAGAAACCGTGTTATAATTAGGGTTAGGGTTAGAACAATGTAACGCCTGTTAATAAAACATCACGAGGAACATTTTTAATTAGAGTTGTTCTTGTTTTTTGTAAAAAAATGGTTTCGTCTCGATTTTCACGTTACACCTGATCCTGAAATTCGATTGGTCAAAATTACAAGGGGTGAACAATTTTTTGTGGGAGAGCTAGGGGCGTCTATAATGGTCATGGTTAGGGTTTGTACTACCTGCATAATATGGGTTGTATTACATAATGTGATTATAAATGGGTTCACGATTGTTCAAGTGTCCCCTGCGTATGTCACCTGTGTCTCCGTTCCACATGGTAGTAAGTCTATCCTGCGTACCTGGTTCCATAGTTAGGACACCGACGGAGTCCGCAGTTCCCTATTGCCATAGCCACACAGTTTTCTTTCCATTTTAACATGTTTACTGTTCTGTTAACATTAAGGGATATTGTGTCTCTGAGGTTAAGTAGCGCAAGACCACTTAATCTATATTCGACCGCCTAGTAAAAAAAAAAAAAAAAAAGGTGGAGAAAGGCATAAAATGGAATTATCAGCTAAGAACTCGAAATTTATCTTAAGCACCGATGCCCTTCCATCACTATTATCGAAAGTCTCTGCTCTTCGACAGCTACAGGCAATAAAGGGAAACGACATTGATTAGATTATAACGTAGGATAATTGAAATTACACTTCAATAGAAATATGCTATGTATGGTACAGCGAGGCCTATTCCCATATGTGATTCCTACGTAGCCACTTGATAGTATTCTTTGATCGAGCAATAATAATTAAAATTTCCAGATTCAGCCGTTTCTAACTTCAGCTGCGACATTTAATAAAATCAGCTAGGCTAGTGGAAAAGTTCTCATCAAAAAAAAAATGAAGTAATGTAATAAAATTACGACGAAATGATGAAATATTTATAATAAATGAAAACCAAAAAAATTAAATATTCTCTTTTATTAAATAGAAATTAATAAATACAGTCAGACCTCGATATAATCACAGCAAAATTTGGTGATTATAGGAAGTTGTGACCCATATGAAGTTTAAATTTTATAATAGTTAGAATTAAAAAAAAGGTGTGACTATAACAAGGTTGTGCCTATATCAAGAGTGACAATAACAAGGTCTGAATGTAATATGAAATTGTTATTTTGCGCGGGAAACCGTCTCTTGAGTGATTTTATCTAGTTCTTTTGAAATAGCCAACGCTTCTAGGTGTTTTTCTGATTCATCATGCCAACATCTTCAATATATTGTAATGGCATATTTTTTACGAAACTTCTAATCCTTTTCATTATGTTGAAGGTTATTGTTTTTGTTGGGTCGTTTTTGAAAGGTTTCTCACCGCTCGAAATTTTCCAAAGAACGACTCCTAGATTATATATCTGATTTTTTGGTCAACTTGTATGAAAGATCTTTTAGTGCCCGCGGATCAACAAACGCATTTGGTCCATGATTTTCATGATTAATTGGGCCTGTATTTGTATCATGGATAGAAAGACCGAAGTTAGCAATCAACATCTTTCCTTCATGAACTAATATATTTTTATGAATTTATATATTAATAAGTAATCCGATATATAATATAATAAATTATACATAAATAACTTACGAAATCTCGATGAATGAGGCCAAATACTATCTCCTTAACGATCTGTATCTTGGAGTCTTGAAGATCTCAAATTTCCATTGTCTGCAAATTGCAAAATTATAATAGTCTCGTCCGATAGACCTGTTTTTCATATTATGTTTAGCTATAAATTTTTATTACTAAGAATCCCGTGAAATTACAGGAAAATAATGATTACTGACTTCGATAATATTAGGATGGTAACAAAATTTTGTAATATTCGAAGCTACACATAACGTATTAAATTAAATATTAAACTATATTTTGAATTAAATTCCACGTCCTTCCAATAAGCTTGATATATGGTTTCAAATTTGCCCTTGTCGATCTCTGTAATCTTATCAAACTTTTTATAATCAAAAACTTCTGACATAGTTTCGAAAAATAAAAACTAATCGGTCCTTCAATTCTATATGTCAAATAACCTAAAATATAATTCAATAATTACACTGCGTAAACTAAAAATTTAACAAAGATTTATAGATAAAATTTTCAATTATAAAACCTTCAGTTATATTGTTATAATTTGTAGTACAACAATTAACGTATAAATACATTCACAAAAATTGTTTACGGCCGCGTTTAATCACAAATAATGAATCTTTAATGGAAATTGTTGCGCTTCAACTATTTCATGGACCAAACATTAGCTATGAAGAATTTTAAAAGAGGTAGATACTTGATATTTAGCTTATTAAATTTGTATTGAACTTTTATTGACAAATAATTTAATTTGCAAGTTAAATATATATTCTAATATTGGATCTAAAAACCCTACGTTTTTGCAATATTATAGAATGTTAAAGGATGAGGATACTGGCGATTATATCTTAGTTGTGTAATATTATAAAATAGGATCTTTACGTAAAAATCTCGGCGCAATTGTAAAACGGAATGGATTTTTATCTTATATATTGCATTTGATCTCCAATTAATTTGTTCTCATAATATTATTCATCGTGATTTACATGGTGATGATATATTTCAAGATAAGCTACATAGTGCTTATATTTGTGATTTAGGAGTTGCGAAATCAGTTAACAAAGCATTTAATTCAGAACCAGGTGTAATTTATAAAATTTTTGCCATATATATCACTTCCTCTAGTCTTTATGATTACGCATCGGCGTCTGAAGATGAAGGGGTTATTATTCTGTAATACAATTTGTTTTGGGAAATACATCATTTGGTTACCATTCTGACTCACCATGGAATCAAACGATTCCAGAATTATTATCTTACTCTCAGTAGCCATTCTAATCACGTATCGACATCTGAAGATAATTGGGGTTATTATTCTGCATCAGCAAGTTGTTTTTTTATAGAATCTATATAAATCTATAAGTTTATATAAATTTTATATAGAATTTTGTATAAAAATTATATATAATAATTTATTATATATAATTTAATATAACATTTATAGTAAATTTTATTTATAATTATATAAATCTAATTTTATATAAAAATTATATATAATTTGTATATATTTATAAAAGTTATGTATTTTATTTATATAACTTTTATATGTGAATAAATTATAAATAAAATATTTATATAAATTTTATATAGTTATAAACTTTGTATAAATATTTTATATAAATTTTATATAGTTATAAACTTTGTATAAATATTTTATATAAAAGTTTTGGATAACAATAATTATATATAATTTCATATAAAGTTTATACAAAATTTTATTTATAATTATGTAAATGTAATTTTATATAATAATTTTGTATAAGTTTTATATATTTATAAAAGTTACATATTATAATTATATAACTTTAATACATTAATAAATTATAAATAAAATTGTTGCATAAATTTTAAGTATTTGTAAACTCTATATAAATAGAAAGCTTTGCGCTATTCTTGTACTAAAACTAAGAACAAAATATATTCTGAGATGTCATATCTTCATTTTGGTTATGTGTGATTCTTTTGAATGTGAATCATTTGATTAAATAAGTTTCAAGCCTGATTACAGTTACATGTATATAAAAATATTAGTATTAGTGAATTGACTTATTTAAAAAAAAGTAAATACTCTTCTTCTTCAGAACTTATTGCTGTGGGTGCTGCTTAAAACAATGATAAGGCAAAATCTCTCCTTTGAGAAAGTAATATAATATAAACTGCTGAATTAAATTGGTCTTGCCTAAATTAGATTCATGGCTTTATAAGATACGGTAATATACAACCAATTCAATCATGCTTACCGTGGATGTGGATTTTATAGATTTTATAGATTTTATAATGGTCAAATCTGCCTTATATTTAAAACAGTACTTTACTCAAGGAAGCGATTGGATCGTTAGTGCTATTCAAGCTGATGTATAAGAAAAATAGCTATTAGCTAAAAACTTAATTATAACATTAGTTACAAGGTTAGTTAAAGTCTTGTGGCTTTTATATTAGTCATGTGGTGGTTGATTAATATTTAACCTTTTTTTTAATTATTGACTATCACTATCTCAGAATAATTGCTTTAATAAAAACAAGTTTTTCTCAAATCAGCATTGCTCGGTCAATGCAATATATGCATAATGCATGAAGCCTTTTCTGTTCAGCTGTAATACCAAAATTGGTCGAAATTTAACACAAGATGATTTAAATTACATTGTATAAAGATACGGGTTAGCTTGAAATCTGAAGCTACGTATAATACTGAAAATCTATTTTACAAAGACATGATTTTGTTACCTAATTTGTTCGAAAAATTATTTAATAGATATCAAAATTTTCCAAAAGTCATTTATTTGCAACTATTATTCCTCTAAATATTAAAATTATAGACTACTAGTTTGATCAGAAAAACAGAAATAAATTACATATAAGTAAAATATTTATACAAATTCTAATACAGTAATTACAGTGATATAAAAGTATTGACATAATATGAATTTGTTGTATCAAACTATGGTACAATATAGACAATATTATTAATTGATTCTACTGAAATCAAATTGTAAATATTTGTTAATTGTAAATAAGGGCATTCAAATCTGTAAAATTTTGAAGGGGTATTTGGAACTTTGAAGTTATACCAATGAACAAGTGCAAGAGTAAATGTCATGTTATCCTTTAATATTATATGGACTAATAGTAAAACCTAAAATTTGTATTAAAATTTAGTCTTTAAATTATAGAAAATATATAATTCTGTAATTATTTAAATATGTAATAGTATGTACCTTCGCAAAGCAATATCTGTCAAATGTTTCAAATTCGATTTGTTTAGAATCTATATAGATGGCAATATTGCTAAATACCGGTATATTGTGATAATGTCTTTTAGCTCTTACTTGTTCTTTGTTAGGCAATATAAAGAATTCATATAAAGTAAAGATTACTTCTGATTCTTTTATATCTCTTTTAAACATAGATATAAGATCAAAATAGTCATTCATTGCGGGATGAGATAGCTCAAACCATCAAGAATTTTAGAATTACATTCTTTATCATGCTTATATAATTTGATAAGTGACTCTATAAGACGTTGTGGTATAGTGCAATATGTTTTACTGAATTTTCCTGTAGTTTCTTTAAATATAGGTGGGTTTTGTAATAAAATACGTTGGTAAATATCTTTGAGTGTGAGAATTCATATAACCTATAAAGTAATATATTAATATATAGTAAATAGTGATGCCAAAGAAATAACTAAGTAAATAGCCTTTTTCAAAATTTGTGTGTCAATATCACGCTTATTTGACATTCTGTAAGGAGTTTTTGTATACTGTTTGTGAAGCGCTTCATATGTCTCAGCACTCAATCCATTTAGATTTCCATATTCTTTAATTGTCTTAACAGTATGATGTACTCAGTGATGAAATTTGAAAAATCAGCAATCGTTTTTAGTGAATGAACCAAGAATATCAATGAAATTTTTGCCCATGTTCAAATCGATATCTATAAAATCATGATAAAATAATAATATAAATTTATATATACGAAAAGTTTTACTAAATTACACCAGTGGTGCTCAATACCACTATTGCTATATCTCAAAAGCGTACTAGCTAGCACACTTCAGGGGTACTAAGTAAAAATGTTCATCGCCTCCAAAAATCTCACTCTAACTAAAATTTAAACCTATATCCTTACTATAGTTTGGGTTCTTTAACCCTGAATTTTACTAGCAAAATGATTAAAAAATATAGATAGTGTTGAGCACTAATATGATTTAGTAAAACTGAAAAAAATTACTAACCTCGAATTAAAAAAGATCAGATTGTGTACTGCCTTGATTGATGATACATTTTATTCCAATTAATAAATATATAAACAAGTAATTCATTATCATCAATGAGGCCTTCAAGAACAAAAGACATAATTTTGATCATTTGCTTATACTCGGATACAGTAAATAGAACAAGATCTGCAAGCCCATATTTGAATACTTTTAATCCAGGATACTATGGTATTAGTCTAAATCAATGATCTATTTTATTTACAAGAGCAGTTCTGCCATAAAATTTTAAGAGATCTCACATAAATTTGACTATATACAGAAAAAGCCCAAGATCTAGGTGGTGTATTTGCTCGAGGACTGATGCTACATAAATATTAAAGCATTTACATAAACTATATATTAAAATAAATTTTATAGATACCAGAATTTGAATCATAACTATATAAAAAAGAACTATATAAAATTTGATTAATACTTACAGGTGATTTCAGAAGCTGTTAATTTCTTCATGTAGTGAATAATATTTTTCTTGTCTTGTTGCAACAACCAATCGCATTCGATCTTCCGTCAGAGTAACTTTGCAACTTGTAGGTATTTCAATAGCATTTAGTTTATTTTTTTTCACAAGACAAGTATGGCAAGGATGTGCACAACTTGTTCTATTATATATTAGACATGATTTGCAGTTTTCAG